GACTGGCCAACAGCTGTCTGTTTCCTTGTGATGAATTCAAGCAGCAACACTTCCTGTTGTGATATTTTGAGCCCAACACTTAGCAGTCGATCCGAAAAGATACGCCGATACATTCTCAGGCCTAACGGATAGTTGAACTACTTCAGAAGGCTGTTCCTGCTATGATTTATGTGGAAATGTCTTGTCAGTCCAGGTCTCCACGAAGGGGGATTGACATCACAAATAAGACCCTACATAAATAAGTAACAGAAATTGAGGAGGAAATGTTCTCACGCCTCTGAACAATCCCATCAAGTCACAGAGGAGGCATCTACCGATGGGGTGCATTGTTCTCTTGTTCACGTTGCCTCCTCCCTGAATAAATAGGGGATTGCCAGGCCACCTTTCTTTATGAGTAGTGAACCTATCGTTAATTCTTTGTTTCATTTTGTTTTTAAAGAAAATATTTTATCTATAAATCTCACAGATTAGGAGAAGTTCCCTGTGATTTGATTAATTAAACAATGCAACTCCAGAGCCATAAACATTAAAAAGCCTTCTTGAAAGCAGACTGTGGCCTAGTCTGCTGGATAAATTGATTGATTACTGCTGTGGTTGTTCCTAATAATCTGTAACATTTTTTCATTAGACAGAAAGTTGTTTTCCTATTTAGTATGCAAACATGAGATCCCGAGCATTCTACCCATGTGTTATGATTTCTTTTTTCCATTATGCAATCACAGAATGTGTCACTTCCTTGTTTATGAAAGAAAAATGTAAGAGATAAAATTTGTGTTTAGTAAGGATTTTGATCTTCAATATATTAAAGAAATTAAAGTCCAAGGTTGGCAGAAAATCATAAATCATGGTTATGTGTTTCTCTAGAATGATTTTATGGATGCTAGGGCAAAGATATTACCATGTGCACTCCAGTTATGTAGAAATGCCACTAGAGGCTGTTTTCTTTTTTCAGAGGTGCCCTTTAAGGTAACGCAAAATTACCCTTAATAGAGTATACATGCAATTTGCACAAAACTAGCACAACACATTCCAGGTTGTGTGTCACAGAGAAAAAAGCAGAGTGAACAATTTGTAATGAACTTTATCATTACTTTCTCCTACATTCTTTTCCCCCTGAAATGCATTTTTTATTTCAAATTTTTCAAATTACTTTTGCTATTCCTTTTAGTTTGAGATGCGTCCTTTGATATTAGGTTTGATATTAAGAACCTGAGCCACATTTGTGGTGTTTGGGATTCCTTTCTTCCTGCATGAGTTCTCTGGTGCTAAGACATTTATGAATTCACAACGTGTTTGCTATGAATAACCTCAAAATGTTTGCTTAAAGTAATGTTTCTCTAATTTGGAGAAAAATTCTGCAGAGTTCAACTTCAGTGTTAATGGCCCTATTTTCAGTGTTTCCACTTCACTATTTGCTTATGAAACTCTCTTACAGCTCTCTAAAAATACTATATAAAAATATGATCTTTCATTTCTTTCTAAGAGGTGCATTTCTAATTCTCACAGGGAGGAAGAAAGGCCCCAAAATATCCCTTGGTGCATGTATGGTGAAACCAATCTGAAGTGTGTGCTCACAAGTAAGCATGCACTGTCATGAGACAGACTTGGGATTTACAGTCTGTTGCTTTCTGTATAGCTTTTGATTGGTTCCTCCCCTTCTTTTACCTCCCCCCTTTACCTTTTTCAAACAAATTCTTTATTTGGTAACTACATTACCATCTTGGACAAAATCACATAGATACCTCTAATATCCATCAATATCCATCTTTTTTTTATTCCTTTTTTTATACTACCAAGCAGTGAAGGAGATAGTAGTGACATTAATGCTTTGAGCACAGTTGCTTGTACCCTACATTACCTTTTCCATGATGTTTTCTTACTAGCTCCTTTATATCATCTTGCCTCTTGGTCACGGCACCAAGCCTGCAGGAGCTCAAGAAGCTTTTGGACAACACTCTTACACATATGGTTCGATTTTTGGTAGTCTTGTGTGGAGCCAGGAGTTGGAGTTGATGATCCTCCTGGGGTCCAACACAAGATGTTCTACAGATATGTTCTATAGATCTATGCTTCTACCCCATAACCTCCCCCCCCCCACTTTTTTTTTTTCCTTATCTTGCATTTGTACCTGTAGAAAATGACATTGCCACAGCTGAGAGAAGATCAAAGTGGTTTCTCTCCAACATGGGCTTCCTGTGTGAGTGCTGAGAACAATCCTAACATTATCAGCTTGGGAATAGTTCAAAAGCAGCTGAGGTGGTGCTGTGTACAACCTAGAGGGATGCTTGTTGATGCAAACTTCAAAGGGTGATGCAAGGTGGGTAAGTGTGGGGTGATGCTGAGGTTGGGCTCTGGCACTGGCTGCTGCCCCCCAGTTCCTTCGAGGAGCTCTTCTCCTTCCTGGCAGGCTAAGGTTGGTGGGATGCTTCTTGTGACCACCAGATGTATGGCTGTGTTACTGTGCTGATCAGGCTTGGTAGTGCTCAGGTGCGCTTGGTCAGGAGCGGAGAGCTATGCTCTGGCCTTTGATGATGTGCTCTGCCCTGCTTGTTGTCAGAATGGATAATATTGACTTCTTGCAGGCTTCAGAGTTACCTCTCCCACCTCCATCTTCTGTGTGTTGTAAAAGCTCCTCCTTGACAAAGCAGTAATATGGGAAGGGAAATGCTGATTGCAGCTGCTCTTCCCGAGAGAAAAAAAACACAAGGTTTGGCAGATGCACATGGTTGCCTCTCCTCTCTCTTCCTCCAGAAAACCACTGTTGTGCAGGGAAGCTACGATGGGCGCTCAGACTCCTGCTCCTAGAGGGGAAGCAAGCGGAATCAGGCAGGATCCTCTCTCACGGTGCTGCAGCTGGAAGGTGCAGATGTTTTATATACACATAACTGGAAGAATGAAAAACAAAAATCTCTTTCTTTGGAAATATTTTTTTCCACTAACTGAAAACAGAAATATATGTATTTCTTTTTGCCCAGAGATCTCTCTGTACATTTTTTCTTCCACCTTAAAATGTATTAACCTAAAGTCACAAAAGAAAGGATGTGGTTCTGTGGAGATCAAAACTAGTAGTCCTAAGAATTTATTAACGTTTTAAGTAGAAGATTGTCCTCTATAAGAGAACTCAAGGAGACAGTTGTATTCCAGAAAAGGTATCGGGAAGGGGTACAACAAGATTATTTTATTACTAGGGAGCGTGAAATTTTGAGGAAATTGGGGCATTTTGAACATCTTGCTGTGGAAACATATCATTGTCAAATAAATGAAAAGGTATAATGAAATGAGGTCCGAGGAAGGCAAGGCAGGAGAGCAGAGAGCCTTCTCTGGGCCATAGACTGCCAACTGTATGGCCAGAGTACCCTGCTCTGCTCTCTGCTCCCAGAGTTGTCTGCTCACAAGCTTTGGGCTTCCTTCTTGCTCCTTCTGGAAATTTTGGTTGGGCCAAACCTGATAGTGTGGGGTATGGCAGTAGCGCAGCGCTGTACAGGGCAGACCTCCCCTTGGCATGGACCTGGAACCAGCCCAGTGCCTTCAGGGGTCCTTGTTGGGACTCATTCTCTCTAATGTATTTATTAATGATTTGGATGAGGGAATTGAGTGTACCCTCAGTAAGTTTGCAGGTGGCACCAGGTTGGGGGGAATTGTTGACGCAGAGGGACCTGGAGAGGTTGGGTCGATGGGCAGAGGCCAATGGGATGAGGTTCAACATGGCTTCGTGCTGGCTCCTGCACTGTGGCCACAACAACCCCATGCAGTGCAACAGGCTTGGGGCAGAGTGGCTCAAAAGCTGTGCAGAGGAAAAGGTGTTGGTTGATGCTCACCTGAACATGAGCAGGCAGGGTGCCCAGGTGGCCAAGAAGGCCAACGGCATCCTGGCTTGGGTCAGGAATAGTGCGCCCAGCAGGAGCAGGGAGGTGATCGTTCCCCTGTACTCATCTCTGGTGAGGCTGCACCTCGAGTACTGTGTTCAGATTTGGGCCCCTCAATACAAGAAGGACATTGAGGCCCTGGATTGTGTCCAGAGAAGGGCTACACAGCTGGTGAAGGGCCTGGACCAAAAGTCCCATGAGAAGTGACTGAGGGAACCAGGGTTGTTTCCTCTGGAGAAGAGGAGGCTCAGGGCAGACCTTATTGCCCTGTACAACTACCTGAAAGGAAGGTGTGGTGAGCTAGGGGTGGCCTCTTCTCACATGTAACCATCGATAGGACTAGAGGGAATGGCTTCAAGTTGTGCCAGGGGAGGTTCAGGTTGGAAATTAGGAGACATTTCTTCTCAGAAAGAGTAGTCAGGCATTGGAGTGGCTTGCCCAGAGAAGTGATGGCATCACCGTTCCTGGGATTTTTAAGGAAAAGTTGGACCTGGCACTTGGGGACATGGTTTAGCGGGTGACGTTGGTGGTAGGGTGATGGATGGACCGGATTATCTTGGAGGTCTTTTCCATTCTCTGATTCTCATGAGGCAGCCTCAGCTGTCCTGCTGGTAGCGGTACCCCTGAGGAGACACAGGACAATCCTTTTCGTGTTCAGTTGCTTGGGTGTTCAACACTACTGGCTTGTGAAACGTGGTGGGGGTCTGGTTCCTGTGGTGGCAAGGAAGTTAGATGTCACTTGGTCGTTTGGTGGTCCTACAACCCTTGCCCACGGCTCTCTCCTTCCCAACTCGTAGGACCTCGTCCTATATGGACGCTGAGCTGCAGTTCGGGGCAGAATATTTACCTGACTTGAGTATTATTAAAATATATTCCTGTTTCCACAGCACCACAGCGCCTGGCTCCCTGCAAGGGGCCCCTTGGCAGAAGAAGCCCCCCGCGCTGAGGGACCCCTCTGCGTGAGCTGAGGCCGGGGCAGCGTTGCAGTGCCCGACCCTTGGGGGGGCGAGGCGCGAAGCCCCCTCGCTGCTCCCCGCGGCCTGCGGCGGCCCTGGCGAGCTGTCGGCACGGGGGCGGCGCTAGGACCCGGGGCGGCGGCGGCGGCGGGGCCGGGCGGGGGCGGCCCCTCCCGGGCGCAGCGCGAAGGCGGGCGGGCGGGCGCGGGGCATGGTCCCGGTGCCGGTGCCGGCGGCGGCGGCGCGGAGCGGGAGCGGGCGCGGAGCGGAGCGGAGGTGGCATGCGGCGCGGAGACATGCGGCTCTGCCTGCGCGCTGCCGCCCCGCCGACATGGACCGCCGCCGCCTGCCGCCGCTGCTGCCGCTGCTCTGCGCTGCTGCCCTCGGCGCCGCCGGGCGTCTGAGCGCCCGCCCCGGCAACGAAGGTGAGCGGCGGCGGGGGGGCTCTCCCCTTCTCCCTCTTTTCTCTCCTCCTTTTTTTCCCCCCTTCTTCCCTTTTTCTCCCCTTCTTCTTCCCCTTCTCTTTCGTCTTTTTCTTTTAATTTTTTTATTATTATTTTTATTTTTCCTTTTTCCTTTTTAAGGTGCTCGGTCCCTGCTGCCGGGGGCGCGCCCTAACGAGCAAGCCTCGGGGTTCGCCCTAATTCCCCCCGGGCCGGCGGCGGTGGGGGCTGCGGCGGTATTTGGTGCTGCCAAAGTTTCAGCCCGAGCTAAAAAGCGGCCCCGCTGCCCTGCCCCAACCCGCCTGGGGTGCCGGAGCGTTTGGGTGTGGGTTTGGGATGCCGGTCGAACCGTGCCCGCGCCCCAATTTTGGGCAGCGTTTTGTTCTCCTCCGCTGCGGCGGTCTCCGAGCTGACATTTGGTGGGGACGCGTGGTAGGTGCCAGGGAGAAATCACGACCGCTATTTGAAAAAGTAACCGAGACACTTTTTTTGGAGGGGAAAGGTAAGGTTGCCTTTCCCCGCGGAGAAGAAGAGCAGAGCCCCCTCTGCCCCCTCCCGCAGCCGGTGCCTGCGGGGTGTCCGCCGCAGCCCGCTTTGGGGACGCATCCAGGGGGTGCGAGGAACTTGGGGTGTCAGCCCTGCACGTAGAGCTAGCACCTGCTCCGCCTGCAGCATCCGCAGGGCAGCGGACAGTGTCGCCGTTACAATTAGCCTTTCTCCCCAGCGGATGATGCTGAGTGTGTACTGGCGCTGGGGCTGCTGGCGGGATACGGCAGTGAGGTAGCCACTCGAAATGATTTCCGAAAGGAATTAACAATCACATCAAATAAGGGAAGATTTAAACTCCGCAAATCCTGGGTAATCTGAAATAGGTTGTTTTTATTGCTGGGAAGAAGCTGTGGCACCACCGTGCCAGAAGAATAATGTAGCATCTGTTTGTACGTTTGATGTAAATTTATTTTACGTAGGCGCTGCTTCCCAGGTTACTTTTAATAGTTGGTTGCTCTTAAGCCTCCGTATACACGCTATTTTGGTACCTATTGTCATCTTTCACAAATGGTTTTCGGAAATGAAAACACGAGCGGTAGTAGGGGTTACTCGTGCCCTATGATTAAAAGCTTTTTGGAAACGTGTGTGTAGTTCAGTCAGTCAGCAGAGCAGCTCTGCCTCCACGGCAGTGGCAGGCAGACACAGTCTGAAAGCTGAGACTAATTATGCAAAAAAAAGATATTAGAGCCTTCAGGTTTACAAAAGATACTTTTTATTTCTTTGTTTAAAATCACCCAGAATTGGGAAAGGAAGAAAAAAATCAGTATCACATAGAAAGCATATTAAGCATCTTTTCCAAGTCAGAATCCTATTCTCTATTTTCAGTTTCAAAAACTTGTAAAATAAGGGTAGTATTTTCAAAATATTTAGTGAAAAGGCACAACATAAATACAAGTACCGGACAGTAACCTGCTTTTGCATGCTTACTTTTTCTGGAGTATATGTGTTGCTACTCATTTAAAAAAAAAAACAAAAAAAAACATTCCCAGTTTCTTTTAAAAATGGGACCAACATCAGTGTTTTAATTATTTCCACTATGGGAAGCTCAGTAATTACTTCATTTGCAGTGTTCTTGGGCTGATGATATGAATTGAGAAAATCCAAATTAGAATTTGCTGATGCTAGTTTGTTTGGTAATCAAGCATTAGCTTGAAGCCTTAAATAGTGTCAAAAGATTTTCTTCTTTTAAATGATGATTTTCTCGCTACACTTTTTTCACTACTGCTCTTACCATTAATTTTTTCCTGAGGCTGAAGTTAGATGTTACTGTATTTCTGTGGGATATTTAGAAAAGTTTTCTTTCTTTACCGCTGAGAAGTTAAAATATATTTTTTGAACGGAGATTCTTATCCATAAGCCTATATTAACAATATGTACATTTTTTTCATGCACTTTAATATAAAGCTACTGTTGAAAATCTCATGGATTGTTTTAATAAAGAATGAAGTGCATTTTTGGTGCGTTTATGTAGCTTTGTGTAACTTCTGGGAGATGTGAATGTAGCAATAGAGATGTTACAGGAACTCCTGGTAATATTTCCTGGTAATAATAAAGGAGCCTTCAGGGCTCCTGGTAATATTTCCTAAATTTATTTGTATTGAAAGAATTATTTCTCTTTTTAAAAAAGCATTTTCAGTTAACACTTGTAGTTAATACTAAAGCTGACAAGCGTTTGAACCAGAACTGATGCTTCTGTAGTGGAAGCGGATGGGAAGAAGGGAGAAAAGGATAAAAGGGGGGGCTGAAGGCAAGTTGTTGATTACTTCACTTTGTTATCCAGTGCAGTCCACCATCCCCTCTCACCTCCCCCCCTCCCCTTTTTTCCTATCTTGGAGACCTTGGGTGTTTATTAATTTGCTTCATCCCAGAAAAGTTTGGAGTTTTTTCTTGCTGAAACATAAAATTTTCCAGAGTTTATTTTTAAACTCCCTACTGTGCTCGTTGCAAAGCTGCGTGCCTTTTACCTACGTAATCACGGAGGTTCAGGAAGGTTCTGTAAAGTTCAGACTTATCTGTGTACAGTGGCAAAGTGTGTGCCATTTTCTGAGAGGCAGGAAAATGTCAGGAAGATTTAACGTCTAATTTTTCGGGTTTTGGAGTCACAAGCAGAACCCTGTGTGTGTGGAGAAACCACACATTCTGCTATTCCATTCCGGTCGATATTTTTCACTTGGGGAGGATTGTGGGTTTCTTCTTAGAAGGATACAATTTTTCTTTGAATAATTCCTATGGTATCAAGAAATTGAATGAGCTATATCATTCAGTAATTTAATAATTTTTCCTCTGTCTCTTCGGTAACTATATTGCCTGCCTGAGGGTACCAGCAACTTTAATTTCACTGTTTTATAACCCACAACAGTTAACACTTGACCTAGGTCATTAACAGGATTATCAGCAAATTTGTTTAAGCTTTTACTGACAACCTGAATTGCTTCAATAATATTTTGACTGTGCAGACAGGAAACTTCTTGTAACCTCTCAATCTAGCATAAAATTAATTTCTTGCGAACACAGCTACCAAAAGATCAATACGGTAAATCTGCTTATCGTACTTGGTTTCAAATAGTGTCTGTTTTGGTTAACAGCAAGAAGGTTCCAATCAGCCGCTGTTTTCAGTCCGTGCTGGCTTTGGAGATGTGGTTTCATCTTTTATTCGTTCGTTAGCGTCTCAGAACAGTGCACACTTAAATTCACCATTTTATCTGTTAACACTTACAGTCACTCAAGACAACTTAGTGTGCCTTGTGACAGCTGTTGGCATGTTTTTGAGAAATTCAGTGTTTGCCTGTGGAGCAAAATGCCTGGCCAACTTTCGCATATCATTTTGGGAAAGGCTGGAAATATTGGAAACTTTTCAGTAGGATCAAAAGGGATTGCACAGGGAAATGCTTTTTACAAATCTCGCCTTACTGTATGTCAGGTATCATTAGGTCAGGAAAAGTCTTCATGTATCATGACACAATTCCTGCTTATAGCTCGCTGTTGAGTGTTTATCTGCAAAAGAAATCAAAAGTAGGCTTAGAAATCTGAATATGATGCCACTTAAGTTTGAGCTTTCTGAAATTAAATTTTGTGTGGGTCTAGAGAGCTGTTTTTCATATTTTATATACTCAAAGCTGCTGTGCTTCATCCTAAGCTGTATGATCAGACAGATAGTGAATGTGCTTTAAAATTCACACTGTGATGTTTTCAAAAAGCTGTGCAAAAGGAGAAGGAAGTTGAGCAAATTCCTCATTTTATCTCAGTATTTTTGATACCTGACTCTCACACATGGAATAATTTATTTTCTTTTCTGTTTATTGCTGAAATGTGTCGTCACTTACCCCTGATTTCAATACACGGTACTCAAAAGAAGAATCACCGTATTGCCTATAGCAAACTTAAAGCAGATGTTTGAAACAGGGAGATGTTCAAATTGGACACAGCAATTAATTGTTATTGCAGTTAGTTTGGATATAACATATTTGCTACCCAATGAACCAGTCAAATCATAGATGCTCGTTAAAACTCTCTTCTGTACTTTCAGCCATAGGAAGTCAGGCTTTGGGGCGCTACCGGAATGAAACCACTGCGCACATAGTAGGCATGCGAAGTTTAACAGTTGTTTGCAAGAAGTCTTTGCGAATCAGGAGTTCATTCTGATGGAACTTAAATTTTTCATTCCCATCTGGAAAAACATGCAAATTAGCTTTATTATTATTACTATTTTTATCTGCAGGAGTTAAGCTAATTGCTATTAGTAGACTTACTTTTGATTTTGTTTCAGAACTTGTAAGTTTTCCTCCAGGAGTGTGCGTGTAACGGCTCTTGTTCTTGTAATCCCCACCCGATGAAAGTTTGGAAATACAGATGCAGGTGTTCATTTCCTTGTTTTCAGAGCTCTGGATTTTATCACCAGTGAGGGTCACTACAGAGCTGTTACCAAATCCACCAGTGCAGTCGGTCGCTTTTTGTGCAGAGCCTGTGTTAGCTCCGCGGGCTACCTGTGATTCATAGAGGCACCACAGCTTTGTAGCTGTTTGTTTTTTCTTATAAACAAATAAATAAATATGTAAATGTTACTAATAATAACTAGAGATAGAACTGTGTCCTTATTTTTTGTTGAAGTTCAAAGCTGTGCTCAGTGGAGCAGGTATTGAAACCCCAAAAGGTCAGATTGATACCCTAAAGTGCAAAATTGACTGGACTTTTCGAGAAGTGTTTGGTAAAACTTAAGAGGTGGGACAGAGGCATCTCTCAAGCCCATCACCTTTCCAACAGATAATTCCAGTATCCTAAGTGTTGCTTTTCTGTAGTGAGACGTAGGGATTCTTTTTTCCCTCCTTTTCTTTTTTTTTTTTTTCTTTTTTATCATTTCCTTTCTTATGGAAAGGAGCCTAATTTATTGAAGCATTGTTGAAACTAGTCGAACATGTATTTGTGAGGGAGATAAA